TTCTTCTTCAGAATTTTAAGACATGTAAAATGTTACACACACAGGTACGGATTCTAATTCTTCAATGAATTTGGCACATCAGTACAGGGTCTTTCTGAAGCTTCTTAGGCAATGATGACAGGTCAAAGCAGCCATTTCTAAGTTTTTCCAGGTCCTACCTAACAGACCAATAATTCTCTGCATCCTCTAATGTTGGACCCAGTAGTGTACTGTATTCTCATACAGCAACACAATAAGTACAGAACAACCCTGTGCATAAGCATTAATGTTAGAGAACACACAATTTCTGTTGGGTGTATAAGCTCACAAACAGCTACATTTGAGGGTATAACTGCTGATTTGGGATATTAGTGTGTATATGGTGTAAGCTGTTAGATATAGCAGAACACAGTTCAAATCCTCTCCTCTCCTCTCCTCTCCTCTCCTCTCCTCTCCTCTCCTCTCCTCTCCTCTCCTCTCCTCTCCTCTCCTCACTTCTTCTTTAATGAATGTGCTCTTTGCTCTACAGCTCTTCAGTGTAGAACTTGTTCATGCTGCATACAAAAAAAAACAGAAATAACAGACTTAAATTATTTTTGCATCCTTTCCATCTTTGATATTTTCTCTTCTATACTCTGGAAGAATCCCATTCTTAGGTCACAAACAGCTGACTCTTTGTCATCTCCAGACAGTGTGAGTCTTGCTTGAAGTCACTCAAATAGCATATACCTGTTACAGTGACAGGATGATTGATATCTTACCAGCAGAGATTGCCCTACCCTTTCTAAGCAATTTAATTGAAAAGTTTAGCAGGTAATGCCAGAAGCCTGAACTTTGACACCTGAGTTTCCACTCCTTCCTCATGTAAGTACAAAAACATATTTTCCAGGCAAATGACCCCCCTTTTTCTCCGGACCTGAGAAAGGTGACAATTCAGTAATTTGCAGATCACTGAAAGATAATGTTCTCTTAAAGGTATAAAATATTCTCCTAGTTCAGCAAAGATCTTGGAACAGTTAAGTAAGTTCTCCATTCCTGAAGCAAAGAACCATTATCAATAACTGCTCATCACTTCACTTCCTGGCACCCTTGCCATGGCACCCATAACATCTCAGTTCCCTCTTTCACCCTACACAACAGTTACACAGAACTTTAAAGAAAAGTGATGAAACAACATGCATCTTGGAAAAAAGGCACAAACTTTGTTTTGATAGAGCTCCACGGAAATTAAGTTGTTTTGTGAGCAGAACAACTTATTAAAAAGGACTGAAATGCTACAATTCCAGATTTCCTTTTTGCCTAGAGGTCTCTAAGCTGGCAGACCTACCTTAAAAGAAGCTGGCAAAGCTGCAGTGAGGCAAGTCAGAGGTGATTAATGCTGGGAGAAAGACAGGCATCATAAAAGTTGCTGTTTCTTCTACTATACCACACATCCTCAAGGGCATCTGTTTCTAGATTATTAAATTAATCTTTAGCCTGTGATTCATTTTTGTTTCTTCACAAACTCCCTTGACAGCTGTTCTGCTCAACTGAGGAAAGCATTAGTCCCCAAAGGAACGTTTTTGCATGTGGGAGAGAAATGGAAGTGGGGACTGTGGAACCTGGAAAGGCAGATGCAGCCCTGTTCTAAATACAGCTTACTGCCATGTTTTAGTGATGTGGCTCTTGAGTGCATGGAGGTCTTGCAGACCATGATAATTGGGGAAGTACAGGGAAGAGAAAGGAAACCCTTTCAGCACCATGGTAAATGCCCAACTTGGTTACCTCCCACAGGAGACACAAGTCATGATCTGGCTTCACTGTTTTCAGAATTACGCAGAGCACTCATCTTTTTGCTGTGCTTTTACATCAATCAAATCCTCACAGAAACACTCATGTAGATTTTTTTTTTTTTTAATCTAATCAAATTATGAAACAGTTTTTCTGGGATGAAGAAATAATTGTTTGGAGTTGCTTGCAATGAGGTTTAAGTGAACAAAGACATCTGAAAATGAAGGCTCTGAAAGAGTTGCTAAACATTTAAGAAGTTGTTCTTTACCTTCAGTAAAAAGTCTTCCACTAGAGCATCCCCTGTTCACTGGCAGGAAGGTTGGAACTAGATGATCTTTAAGGTCCCTTCCAACCAAACCATTCTATGATTCTATGAAAAATGCACTAATGTAAGCATTAAATGAAACCAACCACCTGCATGTCTCGTATCTCTATTTTAACTAATGCTGGTTTGGGTACATAAAGGTTTCTGCTTGTCCTAGAGGAAAGTTTACAGTCCTAAAGGAGAGTTTACAGCCTTATGCATACATGTAATTGGGGAAACTAGTTCAGAAAGCCACTGGTTCAAAACTAACTGTCTGGCTGTGCAATGAGAGAACCCTCTAGAGACTGAAGCAAGCTCTTCACCAAGATGCTTGTTTATATTTTTTCCTCTATAAAACTCAGCTAAGACTGTCTTATGTAATATAGCTGATCAGAAATGTAACTGATAAATTAGGCTAAAGTACACATTTCTTTTGTTTTCATTGAGTTTTCACCTTGGTTTTAATAAATGTTGTTTTTGTTAAGATCACTAGCACACTCAATTTTACAATGATGCTCTCAAGGAGACTCCTGTAAGCTATGGGGGAAGATATTTTAAAAGTTTGCACTGCTTTTGAAGTTAATTCAGAGATCAGAACACAGTTATCTATACCTTCTGAAATGTGGTTTCATGAGGCTCTGATAGGTAAACCAAGATTATCAAGAGAACCAGGACCAAAGAAGAAAGATATAACCACACAGAAGCAGGTTGAAGACTATTATCTGTAACTGGTGTAACACTGACCTGCAAGACAGTCCAATCTTTCCTAGTAGCATCTTGTGTGTGTTGGACAAGAAGAGAAGAGTTTATATCTCTGTGAAGCTGTGGAAAATAATTTGTTCCAGAAAGGAAGAGATAATAAAGTCTGGCTTCATAATGGTTTTACATATTTTGGCTATGTTTTTTGGTGCCTGATAAGAGCAAACTCCAGTTGACTCTAATCACATAATTAAGGTATTTATCACCATGTGGACTCACTTGTGTCCATGGCTTGTGGAGCTCAATTACCCTTCCTCCTGATGTAGCACTAACATTCCAAGAGCTGATTTTCCCAGAATTTTCATAGAACCTACAATAATGTTGGTTGGACTTTTGAGAGTATTTCTGTCAATTTGGCTGAAATGGGAAAGCTGGGTTACCTGCTATCAGGGAGAACTGGCAGACACCACACAAACACATCAAAGTGTGTAAGTACATCTACAGTCGCACAGATAAAGGTTCTCTCACCTCCGCTCACATAGTGTGGGATGACAAGACTCATTTCTGTAAAAAATGGGCTAAAGATTTTTCTGCCTCTTTGAAATTGGGAAGCCAATGTTTATTTCTGAAACATCAACAAGTGTCTGAAATTGTCCATAATTAACCCAGTAAAAGTTCAGAGGAACACCAATGGTTTGACTACAGTTCTGTTAATTTAGACATGAGAGAGCCTGGTCAGAACTGGAATTGGAGTCAAATCCATTGCCACAAAAGCAAAATGCTCTAACACAATCATAAATGTTTGTTACATGCAAAAGTGTATTTACCACTGCTAACTGTGATCTTGGAATTTGCCTAAAAAAGTGCACTCTCATCTCAATTTTCAGCATCATTGTAGCAGCTTTAAACACAGGGGATTTTCTTAGGGACCATTCTTTGTCTTGCGTTAGCCTTGTGCTAAGTTACTTATTATTAAAGAAATAATTTTTATAGAATTAAAGTCAGGCAAGAACATTACAATATAAATAGGTATGATAAAATGAAAGTTAAATTGACATATAATTCTTAATAAGTTTAGTAATCAGCAAAGGCACAAATTTTAAATAATGAATTTTGCTGGCTACATCCTTATTTTGTTCTTTATGCTATTTATTTCCTACAAGTCAGAACATTTCCCCTTATTCTGTTTGTCTGTTATATTTAGCACAAGAAGAAAGATATACAAGCCAATAAAATATATACCTTGTCAGAAAAGGTGAGGGGAAAATAAAAGGCTGATAACTCTAAGAAACTTTTAACTCAGCAGATCTCACTCTCACAGAGGGAGGAGTTTTGTTCTGTAAATGTAAATTTTAAATCATCTACTTCATATTATTTGGTAAGTATTTCAACAAATTGTCTGAAACGTGCATATTTTTATGTCTCTGCATTTTTGCATTATTTCAATTTCACATCCCTGTGGATAACTTACTATTTGACATACAGAGACCTCATTTGAAATGAATAATCAGTTTGTTTTCTGACCTCCCTGTCTACCAGACTACAGAATAATGCTCTTCCGTTTTGACCACCATCATGCCTTATTGCTATTGCTGAGGAAGAACTGTTAAATGTTCTGAATGAGAAACATACATATATACGTTTGTATTTAGATGTGTGTAGGCTTCCAACATACAGAGTTAAGTACAATGGTAAAAGCTCACACTGACTTCTCAGGAGAATGGTCCATTAACATTAACTAAGCTTTTAAAGACCTGTTCCTTTATTTTATTGTAAGTATTGGCTTTTAGAATGAATTAAAGCTGGAATTCAGATCAAAGGCCCTAACCGATTTCCTTATTTATTACTGGGAGTTAAGAAATTCCCTTACAATTCCCACAAGGATGCAGACAGAGTCTGGACAGACAGACAAGTGAAAAGTGGGAGCTAATGAATATTGCTCTAGTGTCAGACAGGTAAAGCACTCCCCTTTTCCTGTTAATTCAGTCGAAACAATGAAGAGAAAAACCCAACCCACTCTTGTCTTGTTTGGCTTAGACATGAACCCTTGATAAGACTCTGGAAAACAAGAAACTTTATGGTAGATTTTAGCTACTTTGGCTGAGAAACTTGTATATCATAAAAATGTAAAAATGGTGTACTCCTGCAACCAATGTAGTCAGCTTGATATGTTGTAGATAACAGAAAATTACTGAGATAAAGAATAATATTTTAAATTGAATATTACATGCTTTTCATTTCTCTACAGAAAGGATATCCCAGCAGGAAGGAGAAAGGTGGAGCACAATCCCTGTAGCATTTCTTGTTCTGCATTGTACAAAACTTTGTAGGGACACAGGAAGAGGATACGGAAGTTTCTACAGGAAAACGGAGATAAGTTCAAACGTAAATAACATCCAAAAAATTTACCATCAGCTTATAACATTTCCTTTTAAAAAGTTTAAAGACACTTATGTTACAGCATAGTTCGCTACACATTATTATGTGTACGTAGTTTTGCATCTTCTCTAGCAATAATATCTCAAAGCCATTTTTAACATGAATTATGCAAGCTATATTACATGGAGCAATGTAAGAAATAATCTATTTGGCATAGCATCCTCCTTTTAACAGAATGAGCAAGTATCAGACTAGCAAGTTGATACTGCAATCTGTGTAGGTCTTTGATGGAACTTGCTATTTAACCAAAGACTCCCTGAAAACCAGTTCCACAATAAATCCCTGATTGAAATCCACTGAAGTCGAAAGAAACTTGTCATAACCTCAACACTTTTACATAAGGGTGTAAGATCTTGCTTCAGCAAAGCTTAGGAATGTACTTAAATCTCGTGTTGCATGCAGCTGAACTGTGGATGAGAGGGTGATAGGCCAAAACTTCTCCTCACACATGGAGCAGCCATGCCTCACTGCATGATGTCAGTGGTGCGATACAGCCATGTTAGCTATTTCTATAGGTTTGTGGTTGCTGAATTTATTTTGTGTTAAGCACAACGTAAGAGCACATTGCTAACTTTTAAGAACTTGTTTAGTAAGTATGGACTTACTTAGGCTTGTTTTCATAGTCTTTTGCTAAGTCTGGTTATCCATAACCAGAGCCTAATTCTGGTTGTGAAGGAGCCTACAGTTTGTACAAAAAAAAGCTTTCAATGTAAATATGGCATCTCTTGATAACACCCAGTCAAGAGTGAACAACAGCCAATGCAATATACATATTACTGTAGTTTTGGCTGCACATCAGCAGTCTTCTTAGAACTGTAACTGTCACTAGTATGTGATAAAAAGGTATCAGGTGGGCAAATAGGTATCAGCTTTTCAACACGTATATTTAAGGCACAGGCAGGACACCATTCCTGATGCTGATAAAGCAAACCACTATATGAAAGATGAAATGGGAATTTTTGGAGTAACAAGATCAAGTTTGCATTGCAAGCCTATGTTACTTGATTTTTTTAGAGGGATCAAATGTTGTCACTTTTAAATGACTTAGATGTATCTCCTGAAAGCTTTTCATACTTGTAGTTTAAATGTACAGTGAAAAAAAACCCCTTTCATAGACGGTTGAAAACTGATTCCCCATTTCAGCTGTACTGAAGGCAGAATATAGATCTGAGGGATATCTGTGTCTTTAACATTAAGCACATAATCTGGGCAGTTGAGTTAGCTGAGGAGGCTTTCCAGGATCCCTGCGTAGTCAGCAGAGAGAAGTGGGCACCTCTGGATCACTCATTCCAGGGTCCTAACTTACATGCTTTGAATTGTTTTCTGAAGTCTCTCTCTGCTACCATTCACCAAGAAAAATGAGTGTATGTGCACATGTAAGGCAAAGGCATTATGACATATTCATTTTTCAACTTTTTTGTGTAATGTGAAATGCGACTTAGAAAAAGGATTTTCTAGCAAGCAGAAGGCAGCTACAATTATGCTGACAGAAGTAATTTCCCATGAGAAACACATAACACATGTACTTTCTGGTCTGCACCAGTCATTGGTTAATGGGTTAGTTTTGACTTTTAAAATGTAAAGATATTTTTAAGATTTACTTGATTTTCAAAAGTGCCTTTTATATGAGGTTTATAATCAAGGCTATAGAGGGTGAGAATAGGGGGGGCTTTAAGAAAACATAATATATATATAATATATGCATAATATAATATGATTTTATTAAAAAACACACATCAAGAACATGCATAATTAATTTGCAACTACAAACATGATAATACAATCATTGGAACATCATAATCAAATACATGGTAATCAGAAGAGAAAGGAATATTGTCATTTACACTTAACTGAAAATTGTTAAGTAGAAATGTGTCCTAAAGTTTGTGTCATACTGGGAAATATAAAAGCTATAAAGTCACATGTTGAAAATAAGATCATTCATCATTCAAAAATGTGAGAATTAGTGTGGGCTGAATAGAAGTGGCAGTGAGCTGTGCTCCATTTGACCAAAAGCACTTGAGAACAGTAAAAGTCGTTTAATTACGTTCAGATGCTACAGTGATATTTCGCAGTAGAAACACCTTAGTTAAGTTATATTTAGAGATTAGGTTAGAATAAAGTAGACAGATGGGAGACAGGGCAAAAAAAAAGAGAGACCAATAAAATGTAATTAAAGTTCTAGCTCAGACCTTTAATTAATTAGCTTGGAAAAGAAATTGCAGTAAAACTGATTGATGGATTTCAGAGAAGCACAGTGACCTCTGAAATAGTTAATCTTTCCAGTTAACTTAGTCCTCACAGTTATGCAAAGGTTCTTGGAATCCTCTTTCCCTGTTTTCATGGGCTGCTCATTTAGGTGCTACAGGCTCCTTCAACACACAGCAACACAGCATTCCTTAAATGACAAAAAATCATCGGCAATTACACTGCACACAGAAGGTAATTCCTTATAAATCTTTCATTAAGAATGCAAACCTAATGAAATTGTACACACAAGTGATGCTTTTACTTCCAACATGTTGGGTCATGTGCTTTCTTCCACAACATACAGGGAAAGCAAAACATTCCGGAAAGCAAAAATGCGCCAGAGGAAGAGGAGTGCAAAAGCAGTAATTTCCCCCAAACACTCCTTCCTGATCAAACACCACAGCCTTCCGGGGGTGGGTAGGGGAGAGGAAGAAATCCTTGAGGTCTCCAAAACATCATTCCCTTAAGACTGAGGGAAGATTTCTAATTGCAGCCCAGCAGTAATTCTCATTCACAGCCTGTCACAAGGGACTGCAACATGGTCCTGGAGGAAGACAGAAGTTCCTGGGAGGATGGAAGAGGCTCCCGCTTTCTTGCCAAGGTCATACCATCTGCACAGGATACTTGTTTCATGGTGTGAAGAAACACCCTTCTCCTGCTTCTAACAGAAAATAGTTGAGGTTAAAACTTGCAGAATTTCTTTGTTCCAGAAAGTGTGGCATGAGGTTTTGAACCTTCTGATGATGACATGCAATTGTTTTACTGACTCATCTGATCCAACTTTGAACAAGAGGTTTCTCAACATCAAACACAGTTCTGTTGATGTCTTCCATCTAAAAATTTTTCTAAAGCTCACAATTTTACTCCAGATAGCTCAGCAAAAACCCCAGGAAGAAATAATGCTTGTCAGGGAACAATGCGCAGTCGAGTTTCCGTGGGCTTACAGTCAGTGCTACACCCTGGAGGTAGCACTTTACAGTACTGCAGACAGCACTTTTCTTGCCAGTGGAGCTGGCTGTGAGATGAGATAAAACTGAGGACCTGACCACTTTGTGAGCAGTATGGATCCCCTGGGATTTTTTGCAATAATGAAGTTGTTGGCTCTGAAGCCCATGTTTGTCCAGCTACAGGAAAGTGTGAAAGAGAAAAGCCAAACCTGCTAAAGGAATATTCATCAATAGTGATGCAACATTTGCAAGGCATTTAAATAGTATGTTGTGAAGGGCAACCAAGAATCCTACGTGAATTAGGCCATCATTCCTACTTCTGTAATTAGTTTCTATATACCCACTTTCCAAAATCCCCTGGAAATCCCCCTGTAGCCTGGCAGGTGGTTATTCAAGCTAGAATTAGTAGAAAATAAGAGAGAAGAATGGTTACGAGTGATTCTCCCACAGGATCCATTGTGTTGGTTGTCATAAAGGCAGACACAAATCTGAAGCCTCTTTACTGCAGCGCCTGTCGTCTAGAAAGAAATACAAAGTGTTTAGAGAGGGTGAGACAATGTATACATTCATTAAATAGATTCATAATTAAAATATTAAATAAAACAACAATTATTTCCAACTGCTTTCAACTTTGTTCTTGATAATTACACATAATTATAAACATCTATGTACGTTTAAGGAAAACTGTGTGCTACAGAGTGACATTACAATTATTTAATTTAATTTAATAACTTAATTACAGTGGGACTCAAGGCTCAGGGTGAAATTACACAAAAACCTACACCAACACAGATATGAGCCTCAGCCTGAAGAGCTTAAACAGATCTCTGGAGCACAGCAAATTTGCCTTCATTTTTTTGTTTCCTTCTTTTAGAGTGGTTAATTACAGCAGCACATGAGATTTATGAACAATTTAAAAATATGGTAGAAACAATCTGAAAGGACAGACAAAGCCTGGTTTCTTAATTGATGTAATCTAATAAAAATTAGCCAGAATTACAGTCACTAAGCTCGGGAATGCTTTAGGGTGATTTTTTTCAACAGAAGGACAGGTTTATAAATACAGGCTCTTCTACAAACTCTACTATCCTTAGATAAACAGGACACAGGGACATCCTGGGTGCATATGTTTGTTCAAGGATTGCCTGAACCCACCGGATTAGGTCTTTCAGCAGCGGTAACCTGCCTTACTTGTTGAAGGGGAGCTGTCTCTAGTTACACTTAGTCCTTCATGAGTGCAACAGCTGTTGTCTGGACCAACTCTGAGCAATGAACAACAATTTCCAAAGTTAAAACCCCAAGTCTTCACAGCTTGGGGACAGGACTAGGGCTTTAGAAATAACAGTTTTAATGATAATATGTGCTGATGAATGGATGTGAATTGAGACACAGACATTGACTCTACCAACAAAATAACTAGCATTTTTATGACTATGTTAACAAACAGGTTTTCTGAGTGAAACTGCTTTTGCAGAAGAAAAAGGCTCTTATGCAATGCAAACCTGCAGTTTTCTTTACTCATCCTTTTGTACTTTTGTGTAAAATAATCCGTAAGGATAACTGTAAGTCTACATTAAATTAGCCAGGCAGATACCGCAGATGAGAGTTTCAGTAACCATTCTGTTAAGTACAGTGCTGTTATAAAGAACATGGATGTAATTTCAAAAAGTATTTTCCCAATGACATCCATAGTGCTAGAATCAGTAGCCCTGGCCAAGAGCTCCCATTTTCTTCCACATTCATCAGAGCTTTTGGAATTCCTCAGCATATCCTGATGGCTGTATTCCATTAAACAAGTTCTGCACTTTCTTCTCCAGCATCTATAAGGTAATATGAAGAGCTCTCATCTAGTGGTCATCCAGCCTCCAGCAGCTTGGTTTAGGTTTCTACCTCACTATCTAGACAAAAGTAAGGCTGGTGCTGTCAAAGAAATTCCAGTGCTGT